ACATATTCAGTCTTAATGCTCCAAAAAAAGGACACAAAGAATGGCCACCCTTAATCCACATTCCCCTAAGTGGAATTTTCTATTAGTTAATTTCTAGTCTTCATTTATGCCCATATTTGGAAAAAAAAAAAAAAAAACCACAAAACAGTAAAAATGACTTCCATATGGGTATCACTATCACAATAAATTTGTATTCCACAGTAAGAGTCCCGCCCCAATTAACCATTTTTTTTTTTTTTTTGCTGAGGAAGTGGATTTAGGTGGATTTTTGCTGTTATCAAAAATGGACAAAATCAGTGCAATGCCAGAGGCTGGCAAGAATGTGGACACACTAGATCACTCACATGTTCCTGATGGGACTGTGAAATGATACAACCATTCTGGAAAAAAGTGCACACAATTATATACAACACAGTAATTGCACTTCTGAACATTTATCTAGATAAATGAAGACAAAAACCTGTATACAATTGTTCATAGCAACTTTATTTGTAATAGCCCCAAACTAGAAACAACTAATATGTAGGCAATAGATGAAATGGTTCAGCAAGCTGTGATATACTCACACCAAAGACTATTACTCAGTTTAAAGAGAGTCAGCACTGAGAGCAAGAACAGGAAGGGGGGACATACAGCAACTTGGATGGATCTCCAGGGCATTGGGTTGAGTAAGAAAAAGTCAATCTCAAAGGTTACATACTGTATGATTTAATTTATATAACATTGTTAAAATGACAAAATTACAGATAAGAAGTACAAATTAGTGCTTGACAGATTAGGGATAGTAGGGGTTATGAATATATAAATGGATAGCATGAGGGAGATTAGTGTTAATGGAATAGTTCTACATCCTGAATAGTTTTATATCCAACCATGATGACAGTTACATAAATATACCAGGGTGATAAAATGACAAAGAAATACACACACATTATACCATTGTCAACTTAACGGCTTTGATACTGTCCTAGAGTTACATAACATGTAACTATTGGGGGAAAATGCGCTAAGAGTACACAGAACCTCTCTGTTCTATCTTTGCAACTTCCTATGAATCTATAATTATTTCAAAAAAGAAAATAGGTACACACTATGGAGAGCTGTGTGGAGATTTCTGGACCTACTAAACATAGAGCTTCCATATGATCCAGCAATTCCACTCCTAGGTATTTACCCAAAGGACACAGAAACATCAATTCCAAAGAGCACCTGCACTCCTATGTTTATAGCAGCACTGTTTACAATAGCTAAGCTTTGGAAACAACCCAAATGCCCAAAAATAGATGACTGGATCAAGAAGATGTGGTACATATATACCATGGAATATTACTCAGCATTCAAAAACGATAAACACATGCAATTTGCAGCAACATGGATGGCACTGGAAGGGATCATGCTCAGCGAAATAAGCCAAAAAGAAAAAGAGAAATACCGGATGGTCTCACTCATAGCAGGAATCTAGAAAACTTAAATAAGGGACCAGGAAAATGAATATAAGAAAGTGAAAATCAAAATCAACAAAAAACTATGAACCAGAGACACTTTTTGGGGGTGGGGGGCGGGAGGGAAGGATTGGGGTCAGGCGTTTGCAATTGTATGGGGGAATATAAAATAAAATTTAATATTAAAAAAAAAAAAAAAAAAAAAAAAAGAAAATAGGTACAAAAGCAAATGTCTGAGACCTCCTCTGGTAGACTTTTCTATATTCTCTATAGAAAAGCAATATTCTCTCATTTTAATGGCCCCAAAGTAAGCATAATTTATATTTATATATATTTTTTTATTTAAAGAACAGGTTTATTAGGAAGAGGAGACTTAAGAATGAAGGACACTTGTACAGACACAGATGGGCAGGAAGAGCTGCCCCGAAAGGGACAGGTTTGCTGAGAGATGCCTGCATGATCACAGGCAGGCGGCCTTGAGAAGAGCTGCCTCTGCTGAGGGAGGTCAGTGCAGAGAAGCCCCGGCATGGTACAGGTCATGGGCAGGCAGGAAGGCTGCTGCCCTGCAGAGGGACAGAGAGTTGGAGAAAAGAAGCACCTGCACAGTCACAGGTGGGTGGAAGGACTGTTGCAGTTTTTATTTTTATAGGAAACTTTGAAAACAAAGAAAGATAAAACAATCACACTTAAAATGATAAACTTTGACTTCACCTTAGATACTGGTATTCCTTTCTCATCCATTGTCATTCCATCCTCTGGCCTTTTAAGTCTCATATTTTGCATTATTACACTCTAAAATTATTGCTCCCTCATGTCTTAATGTCTTATTTTTTTCCATTCCCATGAAACAATATATCCCCTCAGAAAACTTGTAATAAGTATTATAATCAATTATTAGATTATCTAGTTCCAGTTACTCACAGTGCAAATGATTATATGATTAGCCTCCTTCTGAAAGTTGAACTTAAAAAAAGTTCCCCAGCTCTAATTAACATGAAATTAACAGAAGTTACAATGTTAGAGAGATTTGGGAGTAAAAGAGCCTTCCAAATTCTACTAGCATACTCTAAGCAATCTGCTCCCCATTTCTTAGTGTATGAAAATTTCTCTCAAAACACTCCTGGCCACATATTAAAAAAACTAGCAACAACAAATGTTGGTGAGGATGTGGAGAAAAAGGAACTCTCCTGCATTGCTGGTGGGAGTGCAAACTGGTCCAACCACTATGGAGAGCTGTGTGGAGATTCCTCAACCTACTAAAGATAGAGTTTCCATTTGATCCAGCAGTTTCACCCCTAGGTATTTACCCAAAGGACACAGAAACATTAATTCCAAAGAGCACCTGCACCCCTATGTTTATAGCAGCGCTATTTACAATAGCTAAGCTTTGGAAACAACCCAAATGCCCAAAAATAGATGACTGGATCAAGAAGATGTGGTACATATACACTATGGAATATTACTCAGCATTCAAAAAGATAAACACATGCAATTTGCAGCAACATGGATGGAGCTGGAAGGGATCATGCTCAGCGAAATAAGCCAGAAAGAAAAAGAAAAATACCGGATGGTCTCACTCATAGCAGGAATCTAGAAAACCTAAATAAGGGACCAGGAAAAAGAATAACTATAAGAAAGAAAAAATCAAAATCAACAAACAACTATGAACCAGAGACACTCCATGGGGGCGGGGGGGGGTGGGGAACGGGGGGATTGGGGTCAAAATAAGGGGGTTGCAATTGTATGGGGGATATAAAAATAATAATAAAAAAACACTCCTGGCCAGTTTCAGCAACTTGATATCTTACTTCATAAAATCAACATTTCAGGAATACAACTAACATTTGCAAAGCACTTTGGTTTACAAAGATCTTGCACACAAGGGATCTCATTTGATGCTCATTAGATGGTGGAATACTTAGAAGCATGGATCTATTTTCAACTCCATTTTAGAGATGAATTGACTTGCAGTAATAAAGTAACTTCTTGAGGTGATTAGTTAAGTTGCAGATTAATGATTCCTAATGTCAAAATATTCCATAAAACTATATTCCCAATGAAGTAAAAGATATTTAATAACAGCAAATGCTAGACTAGAAAGCATGCACAATCTAATCCAACTGTCCTGATCCCCTCTATAGCAAAAATTCTCAAATCATGGTCTAATCCTGAGATCAGTAATATAGCTGGTGATTCCAAATAGAGCTTTTAAAATAGAAAGTCAGAATGCACTTGTACATGGCTGAAGAAATCAGCTGGCACAGCAAAGAACAGAAAAGAAACAACTAACATACTGCTTTATGCAGTTCACCAACCCAGGTTTATGAAGAAAGAGCAGATCATGGTTTTATAACCAAGACTAAATTAAAATAAATTAAATTGGATTCTTAGTTCTTCACAATACTGACCAAGGAAAAGAACATCAAAGGCTTAAGGACAGGAAACCTCAAGGAATCATCCACAGTAACCTGATTTTTAATCTCCTGATTCTCCTTCCAATCTATTCTTTCCAGAGGAAGCATGGCTTACACTTGTCAGCAACCCGGGACCAAAGTATAAGGTTGAAAGAGAAAGGCTGGAAAATTAATCACATGAAAGAAAGTACTTTTGATAGCAGCAAAGAAAAGTGTAGAGTAGATGACCTCTGGACCTGTTCACTCAATAAAATAGTCCTTAGACTAAAAGTTTGAGAAGCACACAATACACAGATTACTTAACAGGAAATACTATAAAAAAAGGTACAACTCATAATCTTCAAAGTTGCTAAACGTTACATCCACATTTGGTATTAATAGCCTGCTTTTTTATGTTTTAATTTTTCTTTTTAAGATTTATTTATTTATACAAGAACTGGGGTACAGGCCAGATGTGTAGGAGGGTGAGAGGATTCACCAGAGACAGAGCAGGCAACAGAACAGGCAGACTGACTGAATTACACTGCTGAGGGGTGCAGCAGGTGAGACAGGAGAGATCTGCCACGCCATGTAGATTTCTCCCTGGCCGGCCAGGATTGAACCCACGCTGAAGAGGCTGCAGACAGTTTCACAGTGCTGTGTTCAACTGCCTGCACCACCAGGGAGGCCCTGATAGCCTGCTTTTTGATTGAAAGGAGTTAACAGCCTAATTTTGCTCCCTTCTAATAGGATCAGGTGAAATAAAAAGGGAAACTTTCACTTATTTATTTTATTTAATTTTTGCATAGACAAACTGGGGTGTAAGTCAGAAGGAGGGGAAGTGAGAGGATTCACCACAGACAGAGTGGGGAGCAGAACAGGCAGATCTACCGAAATACACTGTTAAGGGAAGCAGGAGGAGAGACATGAGAGGTTGGTTGTGCCATATGTGGGTTAACTCACTGGCCAGGTATCGAACTTGGGACATAGTGGTGATAGTGCTGAAACTTAACACCTAGGCCACCAGGGTGGCCCACAGATATAGGGAAACTTTTAGTGTTATAGCTCTTTTAGAATTTGTCTAGCAGGTTTTCTGGTCCTCACCAGAAGACCCCCATGTTAAAAAAAAAAAAAAAAAAAAAGGAAACTTTTATAGAAGGCTTACCAACACGATATTTCAGTTCCACGATGGTTTCACCTTCTCTGCTTAATTCTGTTACTTCACAAGTGTAGTTTCCAACAACAGCGTCACTCTTACCCATCTTCAAAGAGGCAATCCCATTCAATAATTCTTCTGGTAAGATTTTTGCACTCTGAAAATTACTGCTGGTTAAAGTCACATTTTTATCTCCATTATAGGTGAGAATGTCTTTTCCTTTAAATTTCCACTTTACGTACATTTCTTTAATGGACTTCGCTCCCACATTATTAACAAAGCATGGGATGACAACAGTTTCATTACAAATGGTGTATTCTGTTGATTTTGTGACATTAAATATTAATTGAGCTGAACCTAGAAAGAGAAAAAAATGTTTCATTTCAATATAGAATTCTATAAGATCTTAGGTATGTTACAAATCCTTAAATTTATAAAGAGCAATACTTCAATTATTCGCTAGAGCAAGCAGTACAACTATAGAGAAGACTGGAAAGGTTAGAAAAAAGATAAACTAATTTAATATTTACATGCATAGCTGGCAGACAACACTGTAACTTTTCCTTATTCACGTTCAGTAACAAAGTATATATTACCATACATCTTGGAAATAAATTCAGCAGCGATATTGGAACATGCAGGCGTAGTATCTGATTTTGGAAGCTTTAAGGTAATCATTGCTGTCTACTGATATATCTATCTATCTGCACTGATTTATGGTGTATATATATATATATATGTGCGGTATATATACATATATATGGTGTGTGTGTGGTATATGTATGGTATGTGTGTAAACCATCTATATATATGTGTGTATACATATATGGTTCTTACCATATGGGAAACTTTTAAACAGAAAATCAAACTAAATATTATATTCAGCACTAACTTCTATACATTTCTTCCTAATAGAACTTGCTAAACTGATATGAAGTTTATCTCTATCCCTATGTTGCATTTACAAGATAGGTGGCAGACTCTATTGTATTTTATTATAAAAGGCAAATCAGATGAATCACATCACCTCTTTCCACTAGGATGGAAATTCTTAGAATGCTAAGGAGAAAAGAAATAATTCTCTGTGGCTATTTTCCTATGGCAAAATACAGACAAGAATAGATATTTTGTATGCAAGTATTATAAAGGAATATGTACATTTGAAAGGCATTTTCTCACTCCCATATTTCACTGAAACTACAGAATAATTTTCAAATGTATATTACAGCCATTTCTTCCACCTAGAAACCATAAACCAATCAAAATAAGGCTAAGAAACCAGTTTAAACCAAGAGCAGATGCTGCCAAAAAGAAGAGTATATTCTATCAGCTCTTCTCAGTAGGATAAACTACTACGTTATTGCCTATAAAAGAAAGATTGGGAAAGTAAATGCAATCACTCATCTTTCATCTAAAATGTGCAAGAACATGGGAAATTATAGTTGTCTTCCATTTTCTTCAGCCAATTATCAACTTTAGTTGGTTTTTCCCTCAAGAAACAAAACACTAATATAAATAAAATATCAACTTTAATAGTTCACCATTAAGGTTTCCTTCTGCTATACAAACTGGGAATAAAAATCAGGGGCACAGGATGTTATTATTTGGAAACATGACTATTATTAAACAAATGCCTATATCATTGAATGCTAATGCTAAGATGCAAAGTGGAATATGAACTGGACAATTTAGAAAGTCTGAGTACTATTCAGAAATTCTATTTCTGTCACTTATCAGTTATGTGACCCTAAGCAATTCTCTTAACTTTTCTATGTCTTCATTTGCTGGGCAGCTTCACCGAATTGCAGTGAGCATCTAAGGAGAAAATACATGGGCAAGTGTTCTCTAAACCATACTGTGCTATAAATACTCAGGGTGATAGTATGAAAACTAGGCAATGTGGCTTTTTAATATAATGATCTGAACCTTCTCTGACTGGCAAATCCAGGTTATATTTCTAGAAACTTGCTGTCTGAAACAACCTTCTGGGTGTCACAACTCACCTCTATCCAGTTTTACACATTTATAGCCAAATACTGGGAATTCCCAGGCAAAATCTGGACCACTAATTGCATCCTTCAAAACCTTGGAGTTGTAAATTATTTCCCCTAAGCAAACATTCAGGGCAGACTACAGTAAAAAACAAGGAAAGAAGAAAGTACTGCGATTTTGGAATTAGAAAGGAGGGAAGATGTCAGAAAATATGGTGAATGATTTTGAAGTGGACAAAAAGATTACTGGGTGTCCTTTCAATTGAGTAGAGGGCACTGTCTAATAGATTCTTTGGGAGTCTGCATCTATAGGGGCCTGTGATTTCTGCCATATTTGACTGGGATATTTTATAATTTTGTAAGTTGTACCAAACTGATGGTGTTGCAAATGATTCGTGTCCACAGAGATACAAATGAACTTTGTTCTACATTTGATTTTCACCTGGTGGAAGAAAGGATTTTAAAAAATTACATTTCATTGCTATGAAGATATTGACCAATTTTACATCTATTAGCAAATTCATTTCAGCACTCCTGATTGCCTACAAATGTGTCTGTTCTTCCAAAATTTTGAAAACCAATATGATTTTACTAACATGTTGCCTTGCTTGTTAATTAATGCATGAAATAAAATCTTTAATGTATGGTTCATTTTATATTTATTTGAACCAAGATTTTACCTTGTAAATATTATCTTTTAATAGAAGAGATGGATCAGTGAAGAATTTAGTCATCCTAGTAATCATTTTTAAAAGCAGGTTCTACTTAGAAGTAAGTGGTCAACAGCACTTTACAATTTCATAACTTATGTTTAGAGAAGAAATCTTCCTAAAGAATACAGAAAGCACTAATTGTATCACATTACTTGTTGTAACAAAAATTTATAGTTAAAGCAATTTAAGGAGAATAAATACTGTCAATAAATTCAAGGTAAAGCCGATCTGCACAAATCATAACTTGACTAAGCCATGCGCAAACGATAAGTTAGGGCGGCCCCAAAATACAATTTTATCAGTTGTTAACTACAATTTTATCTCCTACAAACATTTACTTTAAAACTATCAAGTAGCAAATTATCTGATTTGACTTTTCTCTTTTGCTTGTGCCTGCTTATAAAATAGCAAAGCAAAGATTTTAAATCTAGAGGGCAAATAAAGGTACATAGATAATTAACAAGAATAAGGAAATTCTGAATAATCAAGATATGCCTATAGCTATTTAAATCACATAGGAATAGACAAATTTAACCATAAATGATGACAGAGTTACAAATAAATTAACAAATTAAATGAGGAATATATTTATTTTAAATGCCAAAAATACTGGTCCTTACAATATCTGTCAACACAGCAGACCAACCCAAACCACCCTAAATCACAGTCCTGAAAGTATACTCTATATGTACTTGCAGAGAGAACTCAATATGTGGTGGTCACAGCATACAAGTACAGCTCAGAAATTTTAAAATGTAACATATGTTGATTGAGAATTACCTGATCTGAAAAATCGTGATAATGTGTAGGGATACAATGGTGGAGAAAAAATGTAGGAATTATTTTAGACGTTTACAATTCCCACTTGGGAGAATGATAACTACTTTGCATAACACAAGGTCATAAGTGCCATCCTTCTGGCATAAACAAACTGCTATGGAGGGGCAGATAATAATGAGTCTTAAGATTTCTAAGAAAAATTTCATTGCTATGAAGGAAACACCAAAAAATTGCCATAGTTCCCACCCATCCAGACATTTCTTTTCATATATTCTGTGTAAATTTTCTCTCCTTTAAAAATCTTTGCAATCGCCTTCCTGTGTCAAGTGCTTATCCTATACTTTCCAAAGGAGGCCCCCACTCGCTTTCCCTTTCTTTCTCTCTCTCTCTTCCCCAACCCCTAGGCTGAACACAAATTGAGTACCTTCACATAAGAAGCTCAAAGCTGCCAACCCTTCTTACTTATAACTTCACCTGCAACCCCAACTATCCCCATCTACCCACCTCCCACTGCAAGTTCTCCTTTTCAGGAATGAATCCCTTCATCTAGCAGTAGTTTCTATTTCTGCCTTGGCATGCATCTATCTCCTTAAGGACTTTCCCTGGTTGATTTTTAGCTTCCTACGTCTCACTATTTCATTTACATAGGTTTAAAAATTTTTTTTAAATGCTTGAATATTTGCCAACTTTAAAAAAATTCCACACGGTTGTCTCTCTCTTGCCTAGCATCTTAAAATAAGTCTAAACGCATTTCTTCACCTATTCACTTCTTAAATCTATGCCACCTCACCTCCGCCTCTTTATCTTTACCTTTTCACTACAACAGCTCTTGCCAGAGTCACCAATAATCCCTTGTGAAAAATCGTACATGGCTCACTTTCTGTCTTGACTTCTCCACAGTTCTTGGGTATAGGGGCAGCTCCTTTCTGCCCCTGTCCCTTGGCTTCTATGGTATCTCTTGACTCTGAATTTCTTCCTACTACTTTGTCCACCCCATGCCAGCTTACTTTCTTTATTGAAATTCTAGATTCCTTGACTCACAATAAATATCAGTGTTCCTAAGGACTTCATATCCAGTGCTGCCTTCTTCGCTTTCCCCAACAACACTCCCAAGACCAATATTTTCCCTTACCCCATGGTTTTAACTACTTATACACTGTTTTAAAAACAGGCACATTTCTCCTTAACTTCAGATCTTGGAAAGCCAATTGTCTGCTTTGCATTGCCATTTGAATATATTATAAAAGTTTCAAAGTCAACATGTCCAAAACCTATTCATCTTCTCCATGCCCTCCTCCCAAACCTCACCTCCCTAAAGCATTTTGTATTACCTAAAAATCAACTAGCTCTGGACCTAAATAAGAATAATGCTGGATAAGCCATGAAGAATTCTTGGTAAATTCAACCTATTCATCCCTAAATCCAATGTGTCATGTATGAATGAATTGGACAGTCATCATTTCTCCACTGAACTGTTGCCACAGCCTCCTAACTAGCTCCCTGCCTCCAGTCTCAATGTTTCCCCCATTCCAGCCCCAATGTACTTTCCACAGTTCCCAAAATAACTGTTCTAAATGCAAATGTGCACTCTTTTGCCTAATATACTTTAAAAACACCCTCCCCCTACCTTTTAGGCTAAATTCTAAGTGCACTGGCAGGAAACACAAAGGAGGTCTTTGAGATCCTTTCCAATCCCAACACCTATATACCTTCATTTCCAATCATAATGACCTTCCCGCAATTTCATGAATATCCATATGTACTCTTATCTCCAGGCCTTTGCACATGCTGTTCCTCTAACCTAAATTGCAGGCCCATACCCTTCTTTGGATGTAGAAGAGGACACTAGCTGTATGACCTCAAGCAAGTTACT